CAAGATATATCAATTATCCCCAAAACCGGTGTTGCTCAGTGGAAAGAGTGTCGACCTGCTGGACGAAAGGGTCCCGGGTTCGATTCCCAGTCAAGGGCATGGACCCTGGTTACGGGCACATCCCCAGTGGGTGGGGACCGGTGTGCAGGAGGCAGCTGGTGGGTGTTTCTAACTCTCTCTCCCTCTCCCTTCCTCTCTGTAAGAAATCAATAAAATAGATATATATATATTTTTAAAAAACAACAATAAAAATTAGGTATTTTATTGTATTTAGCTATTTGATGGAAATCTTATCTGAACCATAGTCTAGGGTTGTTGTTTGTTTTTAATCCTCTTGTATCTATTTTAGATACAAACAGCAAATAATAATTACTTTTTTATTATTTAATAAAACAATAAAAAGTCTTGCTTTTTAATAAATAACAATAAAATATTATTATGTTTAATAATAATTTTACTATTATTATTAAATAATAAAAAGTATTTTAATAAAATGTTTAATAAAATTTTGAATTTTATTACTATTAAACAATAAAAACTATTTTTAATTAAACGTTTAACAAAATTTTAAATTTTACTATTATTAAGTAATAAAAATTAATTTAAAAAATTCTTGATAAAATTTTAAATTTTCTTATTAAATAATTTTTTATTTTTAATAAAATTTTAAATAAAGTTTTGTTTTATTATTATGATGAAATAACAAAAAATTTTATTTTTAATAAAATTTTTAAACTTATTTGTAATAAAGTTTTTAACAAAATTTTAAATTTCATTATTATTAAATAATAAAAATAACATTTTTAATGAAATTTTTAACAAAAATTTTAAAATTTGCTATCATTATTGAATAATAAATTGTTATTTTAAATGAAATTTTTCATTAAAAATTTTTATTACTAAATAATAAAAAAAAATTTATAAAACACAACAAAATTTTAATTTTAACCATTATTAAATAACAAAAGTGTATCTTTCATAAACATTTTAACAAAATTTTAAATGTTATTAGTATGAAACAGTAGAATCGTTATTTTTAATAAAAATTTAAAATTCATTAAATAATAAAAAATTATTTTAAATAAAATTTTAAAACAAAAATTTTAAGTGTTAATTATTATCATTATAAAACCATAGAAAAAAATTATCTCTAATAAATTTTTAAATAAAAATTTCCAATATGTTGTTAAATAATAAGTTATTTTAAATAAAATTTTAAGTTTCTATTATTATTATTATTATTATTATTATTATTATTAAACGATACAAAGTGATGCCCAGGGACTCCTGGCCAATAAGGCTTCTCCGGTGTTGGGGTCCCCCCGCCCCAGCTCCCCTCTCCTCTCCCTCCCGCAGGTCACCGGGGCCCAGAGGACAGGATGCTGCTGCCCCAGCGCGCCCCCTGGCGGGCGCTGTGGGCGGTGCTGCTCCTGGCCTGCGCGCCGCCCCCGCCGGCCGCGGGGTCCTGCCCGCGCCCCTGCTCCTGCTACGCGCCCACCGAGGTCCACTGCACCTTCCGCTCGCTGGCGGCCGTGCCCGCCGGCCTCCCCGCGGGCGTGGAGCGCGTCAACCTGGGGTGGGTACCGCCCTGCAGTCCGTGCGTCAGCGGCCATGCGGCCGTGCGTCCGTGCGTCCGTGCGTCTGTGCGTGAGCGTCTGAGCATTAGAGTCCGTGCGTCTCCCTCTGTGCGTGAGCGTCTGAGCGTCACCGTCTGAGCGTGAGCGTCTGTGCGTCAGCGTCTGTGCGTGAGCATCTGTGCGTGAGCGTCTGAGCGTCACCGTCTGAGCGTGAGCGTCTGTGCGTGAGCGTCTGAGCGTGAGCGTCTGAGCATTAGAGTCCGTGCGTCTCCGTCTGTGCGTGAGCGTCTGAGCGTGAGCGTCTGTGCGTGTGCCTCTGTGCATCACTGCCCGTGCGTCACCGTCTGAGCGTGAGCGTCTGTGCGTCAGCGTCCGTGCGTCTGTGCGTCTGTGCGTGAGCGTCTGAGCGTCACAGTCTGAGCGTGAGCGTCTGTGCGTCAGCGTCTGTGCATCTGAGCGTCTGTGCGTGAGCGTCTGAGCGTGGGCGTCTGAGCATTAGAGTCCGTGCGTCTCCGTCTGTGCGTGAGCGTCTGTGCGTGTGCCTCTGTGCATCACTGTCCGTGCGTCACCGTCTGTGCGTGAGCGTCTGTGCGTCAGCGTCTGTGTGGGCGTCTGTGCGTCAGCGTCCGTGCGTCTGTGCGTCTGTGCGTGAGCGTCTGAGCGTGGGCGTCTGAGCATTAGAGTCTGTGCGTCTCCGTCTGTGCGTGAGCGTCTGAGCGTGAGCGTCTGTGCGTGTGCCTCTGTGCGTCACTGTCCGTGCGTCACCGTCTGAGCGTGAGCGTCTGTGCGTGTGCCTCTGTGCGTCACTGTCCGTGCGTCACCGTCTGAGCGTGAGCGTCTGTGCGTCAGCGTCTATGTGTGGGCGTCTGTGCGTCAGCGTCTGTGCGTCTGTGCGTCTGAGCGTGAGCGTCTATGTGTGGGCATCTGTGCATCAGCGTCTGTGCGTCTGTGCGTGAGCGTCTGAGCGTCTGAGCATTAGAGTCCGTGCGTCTCCGTCTGTGCGTGAGCGTCTGAGCGTGAGCGTCTGTGCGTGTGCCTCTGTGCATCACTGTCCGTGCGTCACCGTCTGAGTGTGAGCTTCTGTGCGTGAGCGTCTGAGCGTGAGCGTCTGTTCGTCAGCGTCTATGTGTGGGCGTCTGTGCGTCAGTGTGTGTGCGTCAGTGTCTGAGCGTGAGCGTCTGTGCGTCAGCGTCTATGTGTGGGCGTCTGTGCGTTAGTGTGTGTGCGTCAGTGTCTGTGCGTCAGCATCCGTGCGTCTGTGCGTCTGTGCGTGAGCGTCTGAGCGTCACCGTCTGAGCGTGAGCGTCTGTGCGTCAGCATCCGTGCGTCTGTGAGTCTGTGCGCTGTGAGAGTATGAGCGTCAACGTCTGAGAGTGGGAGTATGAGCATTAGAGTCAGTGCGTCTCCGTCTGTGCGTGAGCGTCTGAGCGTGAGCGTCTGTGCGTGTGCCTCTGTGCGTCACTGTCCGTGCGTCACCGTCTGAGCGTGACCGTCTGTGCGTCAGCGTCTATGTGTGGGCGTCTGTGCGTCAGCGTCTGTGCGTCTGAGCGTGAGCGTGTGTGTGGGCATCTGTGCTTCAGCGTCTGTGCGTCTGTGCGTGAGCGTCTGAGCGTCTAAGCATTAGAGTCCGTGCGTCTCCGTCTGTGCGTGAGCGTCTGAGCGTGAGCGTCTGTGCGTGTGCCTCTGTGCGTCACTGTCCGTGCGTCACCGTCTGAGCGTGACCGTCTGTGCGTCAGCGTCTATGTGTGGGCGTCTGTGCGTCAGCGTCTGTGCGTCTGAGCGTGAGCGTGTGTGTGGGCATCTGTGCTTCAGCGTCTGTGCGTCTGTGCGTGAGCGTCTGAGCGTCTAAGCATTAGAGTCCGTGCGTCACCGTCTGAGCGTGAGCGTCTGTGCGTCTGTGCGTGAGCGTCTGAGCGTCACCGTCTGAGCGTGGGCGTCTGAGCATTAGAGTCCGTGCGTCTCCGTCTGTGCGTGAGCGTCTGAGCGTGAGCGTCAGTGCGTGTGCCTCTGTGCGTCACTGTCCGTGCGTCACCGTCTGAGCGTGAGCGTCTGTGCGTCAGCGTCTATGTGTGGGCATCTGTGCGTCAGCGTCTGTGCGTCTGTGCGTCTGAGCGTGAGCGTCTGTGTGGGCATCTGTGCATCAGCGTCTGTGCATCTGTGCGTGAGCGTCTGAGCGTCTGAGCATTAGAGTCCGTGCGTCTCCGTCTGTGCGTGAGCGTCTGAGCGTGAGCGTATGTGCGTGTGCCTCTGTGCATCACTGTCCGTGCGTCACCGTCTGAGCGTGAGCTTCTGTGCGTCAGCGTCTATGTGTGGGCGTCTGTGCATCAATGTGTGTGCGTCAGTGTCTGAGCGTGAGCGTCTGAGCGTGAGCGTCTGTGCGTCAGCATCTGTGCATCTGAGCGTCTGTGCGTGAGCGTCTGAGCGTGGGCGTCTGAGCATTAGAGTCCGTGCGTCTCCGTCTGTGCGTGAGCGTCTGAGCGTGAGCGTCTGTGCGTCAGTGTGTGTGCGTCTGAGCGTGAGCGTCTGTGCGTCAGCGTCTATGTGTGGGCGTCTGTGCGTCAGTGTGTGTGCGTCAGTGTCTGAGCGTGAGCGTCTGTGCGTGAGCGTCTGAGCATTAGAGTCCGTGCGTCTCCGTCTGTGCGTGAGCATCTGAGCGTGAGCGTCTGTGCGTGTGCCTCTGTGCATCACTGCCCGTGCGTCACCGTCTGAGCGTGAGTGTCTGTGCGTCAGCGTCTATGTGAGGGCGTCTGTGCGTCAGCGTCTGTGCGTGAGCGTCTGTGCATCAGCGTCTGTGCGTCTGAGCGTGAGCGTCTGTGCCTGCATAAGCGTCTGTGCGTCACCGTCTGTGTGTGAGCGTCTGAGCATTAGAGTCCGTGCGTCTCCCTCTGTGCGTGAGCGTCTGAGCGTCACCGTCTGAGCGTGAGCGTCTGTGCGTCAGCGTCCGTGCGTCTGTGCGTCTGAGCGTGAGCGTCTGAGCGTCACCGTCTGAGCGTGAGCGTCTGTGCGTCAGCGTCTGTGCATCTGAGCGTCTGTGCGTGAGCGTCTGAGCGTGGGCGTCTGAGCATTAGAGTCCGTGCGTCTCCGTCTGTGCGTGAGCGTCTGTGCGTGTGCCTCTGTGCATCACTGTCCGTGCGTCACCGTCTGAGGGTGAGCGTCTGTGCGTCAGCGTCTGTGTGTGGGCGTCTGTGCATCAGCGTCTGTGCCTGCATAAGCGTCTGTGCGTCACCGTCTGTGCGTGAGCGTCTGTGCATCAGCGTCTGTGCCTGCATAAGCGTCTGTGCGTCACCGTCTGTGCGTGAGCGTCTGTGCATGTGCCTCTGCATCACTGTCTGTGCGTCACCGTCTGTGCGTCCGCGTCTGTGCATCTGTGTGTCTGAGCGTGAGCGTCTGAGCGTCAGCGTCTGTGCGTGGGCATCTGTGAGTGAGCGTCTGAGCGTGAGCGTCTGTGCGTCAGCGTCTATACGTCTGTGCGTCTGAGCGTGAGTGTGTGTGCGTCACTGTCTGTGTGTGTGCCTCTGTGCATCACCGTCTGTGCGTCACCGTCTGTGCGTGGGCGTCTGTGCGTCACCGTCTGTGCGTGGGCGTCTGTGCGTCACCGTCTGTGCGTGAGCGTCTATATGTGAGCGTCTGAGCGTCACCGTCTCTGTGCGTCATCGTTTGTGTGTCACCGTCTGAGCTTGAGCGTCTGTGCATCACCGAATGTGCGTCACCGAATGTGCGTGTGCCTCTGTGCAGCACCGTCTGAGCGTGAGCGTCCGTGCGTCACAGTCTGTGCGTGAGCGTCTGTGCGTCACCGTCTGTGTGTGTCTGTGCGTGGGCGTCTGTGCGTGAGCGTCTGTGCATGAGTATCTGTGCGTCACTGTCTGTGCGTCTGTGCGTGGGCGTCTTGCATGGGTGTCTGCGCGTCACTGTCTGAGCGTCACCGTCTGTGCGTGAGCGTCTGTGCGTCACCGTCTGTGTGTGTCTGTGCGTGAGCGTCTGCCCGTAACTGTGTGTAACTGTGAGACGTGGAGCGGGTCAACCTGGTGTGGGTATATCCGCCTTCATGCCTGTGCGTGAGCGTCTGTGCATGTGCCTCTGTGCGTAACCGTCCGTGCGTCACCTTCTGTGCGTCACCGTCTGTGCGTGAGCGTCTGTGCGTGGGCGTCTTGCATGGGTGTCTGCGCGTCACTGTCTGAGCGTCACCGTCTGTGCGTCACCGTCTGTGTGTGTCTGTGCGTGAGCGTCTGTCCGTAACTGTAACTGAGACGTGGAGCGCTTCAACCTGGGGTGGGTACCGCCGCCTTCCGTCTGTGCGTCAGCGTCTGTGCGTCAGAGCGTGAGCGTCTGTGCGTGTGCCTCTGTGCATCACCGTCTGTGGGTCACCGTCTGAGCGTGAGCGTCTGTGCGTGGACGTCTGTGCGTCAGCGTCTGTGCGTCCCACCATCTGAGCGCGAGCGTCTGTGCAGGGGTGTCTGTGCGTGGGCGTCTGTGCGTGGGTGTCTGTGTGTCACTTCTGAGCGTGAGCGTCTATGCGTCACCATCTGAGCGTGAGCGTCTGTGCGTGAGCGTCTGTGCGTATCTGTGAGACGTGGAGCGGATCAACCTGAAGTGGGTACAGCCACCCTCCGTCTGTGCGTAACTGCGTCACCGTCTGCGTAAACGTCTGTGCGTTACTGTGCGTAACTGTGCGTGTCTGTGCAAAACTGTAACTGTGCGTCAGCGTCTGTGCGTCAGCGCGTATCTGTGCGTCAGCGCGTATCTGTGCGTCAGCGCGTATCTGTGCGTAAGCGTTGGTGCATAAAAGTCTGAGCGTAAGCGTCTGTGCGTGAGCGTCTGTGCGTGTCTGTGCGTAACTATGCGTAACTGCATCACCCTCTGCGTAACTGTGCGTAACTGCGTATTTGTGCCTAACCGTCTGTGCGTAAGTAGGTAATTGTGGGTAATTGTGGGTAATTTCCCATGAGCCACTGCGCGCCGTTGGCCGCCCGTGTCCCGTTAGGGAGCGCTCTTTCTGGGGTTCCGTGCGTCTTCCGTTTCCTTCCTGTTTCCATCCATTCCCTCGCCCGCCCTGGCTGGTTCAGAGGACAGAGCCTCCGCTTACAGACGCCCCAGGCCCCGGTCAAGGGCTCGGACCCGGGATGCAGGCTCTTTCCCCCGCCCCCCGGGGCCGTGGCTGGGGCAGGTCCCGGAGGCAAGTGGTCCATGTGTTTCTGTCCCATCGATGTTCCTCTCTGTCTCTCACTCTCTCTGGAAAACCAATGGGAAAATACCCTCAGGGAGGATTTAAAAAGTAAAATAAATATGTAAATTATATATAGTATATAATATATAAACTAAATTATACATAGTATATAATTATACGTATATAGTAAATTGCATATATATTTTACTATATATACATACAGTAAAATAAAATATGTAAATTATATATACACACACATAGTATATAATATGTAAAGTAAATTATATATACAGTATATAATTATATAGTAAATTACATATATATTACTATATATAGTAAAGTAAATATTTAATATATTACACACACCTCGTATCTTCTAGTAACGTTAAAATTATGTCGTAGTTATAATTATACTAATAGTCAATTTTATATATATATTTACTCTATCTATAGTAAAAAAACATATGGAAATGATATACATCCTCGTTATCATATGGAACGTAATTATGTCGTATATGAATTAGACCTATGAGTAAATTATATATATATTTTACTATATATATAGTAAAATAAAATATGGAAAGTAAATTATATATATAATAGTATATAATATAGAAAATAAATTATATATATTATATAGTTATATAGTAGTAAGTTACATATATATTTTACTATACATACATATAGTAAAATAAAATACATAAAATAAGTTATATATATGTTATATATACATAAAGTAAATTATATATATATATAAAATATGTAAAGTAAATTTATATATATATATATATATACACACACACACACACACAGGTTAACTATCCAAAATATATATATATATATACTTTTAATATATTTTATTGATTTTTTATATGTATTTATTTACTTATAATATATTTTATGTATTTTTAATATATTTTATTGATTTTTAATATATTTTATTGATTTTTTTTTTTTTTTACAGAGAGGAAGGGAGAGGGATAGACAGAGAGAAACATCCGTGATGAGAGAGAGAATCATAGATCGGCCGCCTCCTGCACCCCCCCCTCGACTGGGGATGGAGCCCACAACCCGGGCCTGTGCCCTTGACCGGGAATCGAACCCGGGACCTCCTGGTTCCTAGGTTCACCCTCAACCTCTTAGCCACGCCGGCCGGGCCATCCATGTGACTGTATTTCAGCAAAATTGTTGATACAAGATACCTACCCTTGCCGAAACCGGTGTGGTTCAGTGGGTAGAACGTCGGCCTGTGGACCGAAGGGTCCCGGGTTCGATTCCCGGTCAAGCACATGGACCTTGGTGGCAGGCACATCCCCAGTGGGGGGCGTGCAGGAGGCAGCGGATCGATGTTTCTCTCTCATCATCGATGTTACTGACTCTCCCTCCCTCTCTCTTCCTCTTTGTAAAAAAAAAAAAAAATCATTAAAATATATATTTTTAAAAGACATAAAACAAGCTGGGCTGGTGGTTGAGCATTGACTTAGGAACCAGGAGGTCCCGGGTTCGATTCCCGGTCAAGGGCACAGGCCCGCAGGCTCCATTCCCAACCAGTAGGGGGCGAGCAGGAGGCGGCTGGTTGATCCATGATTCTCTCTCATCCTGGATATTTCTCTCTCCCTCTCTTGTCCTTCCTGTCTCTGAAATAAAATAAAAATGTCTTTCTTTAAAAACAAACAAACAAACAAACAAAAAAGACAACATATTTAATAACAAGCAGAGAACGTTCCAAATCAGCCGCCACCAGATGTTAACACACACACACAGGAAAACACTGTCTCCTTTCTCCTCCTCCTCCTCTTCCTCCTCCTCCTCCTCCTCCTCCTTCATTTAATTTTATGTTTATTTATTTAGTTAGTTTCATTATCCCTTTATTATTTTTTAAATTTTTAAAAAATATATATTTTATTGATTTTTTTTTTTTTACAGGGATAGAGAGGGATAGAAACAGATGAGAGAGAATCATCCATCAGCCGCCTCCTGCACGCCCCCCACTGGGGATGTGCCCTCAGCCACCAAGGTCCACGCCCTTGACCGGGAATCGAACCCGGGACCCTTCCGTCCGCAGGCCGACGCTCTGCCCACTGAGCCACACCGGTGAGGGCCATGGATATTTTTTAAAAGTTGTTTTTATTGTTTAATAAGATAACGTGGTTGTTTTTTTTTTAAAGTTGTTTTTTAATTTTTATTTTATTATATATATCTATATATTTTATATATTTTACTGATTTTTCACAGAGAGGAAGGGAGAGAGTGAGAAACATTGATGAGAGAGAGTCATCGATCCGCTGCCTCCTGCACGCCCCCCACTGGGGATGTGCCCTCAGCCACCAAGGTCCATGCCCTTGACCGGGAATCGAACCCGGGACCTTTCAGTCCGCAGGCCGACGCTCTGCCCACTGAGCCACACCGGCTTCAGCTGATTTATTTTATTTTTTATTTTATTTTTATTGATTTATTTTTAAGTATATTTTATTGATATTCTTACAAGAGAGGAAGGGAGAGAGATAGTCAGAAACATCGATGAGAGAGAGTCATCGATCCGCTGCCTCCTGCACGCCCCCCACTGGGGATGTGCCCTCAGCCACCAAGGTCCATGCCCTTGACCGGGAATCGAACCCGGGACCCTTCCGTCCGCAGGCCGACGCTCTGTCCACTGAGCCGCACCGGTTTTGACTCCAGGTCTGTTTCCGTTCATCCGTCTTCGTTGTCCATCATCATTTCCTCTCGATGTCTTGTTTCTTCTTGTTTTATGCTTTGGGGGGGGGGGGATCTGTGGCCTCTGGGCTGGGCACACTGACGGTGTCTGTGTCTGTGTGTGTGTGTGTGTGTGTGTGTGTGTGTGTGTCTGTGTCTGTGTGTGTGTGTGTGTGTGTGTATGTGTGTGTCTGTCTGTGTCTGTGTGTGTGTGTCTGTCTGTGTGTCTCTCAGGTTTAACAGCATCCAGACCCTGTCGGACTCCGCCTTCGCCGGGCTGAAGAGGCTGGAGCTGCTCATGGTCCATGGAAACAACATTCCCAGCATCCCTGACGGCGCCCTCCGAGACCTCAGCGCCCTGCAGGTAACGCCCAAGCTCTCGTTTCCTTATTTTATTTTTAAAAATATATTCTATTGATTTTTTACAGAGAGGAAGAGAGAGGGATAGAGAGTTAGAAATAGTATCGATGCGAGAGAAACATCCATCCGCCGCCTCCTGCACGCCCCCCCACTGGGGATGTGTCCGCAACCAAGGTCCATGCCCTTGACCGGGAATCGAACCCGGGACCTTTCAGTCCGCAGGCCGACGCTCTGTCCACTGAGCCACACCGGATTCGGCTCATTACTTTATTGTATTGTATTTTATCATTTCATTCACTTTTTTTTTTTTATTCTGTCATTTTACTTTATCTTTTATTTACTTTGCTTCACTTTTTATTTTATTTTATGGTTTACTTATTTATCTGCTGTTTTATTAATTTAGTTTATTTTAGTTTAACTTTATTAATTTTGTTCTACTTTTTATTTTATGTTATTCATTCATTTTCATTTATTTATTATTTTATTTTATTTCGTGTTTTATTTTTTTATTATTTTTATTATTATATTTTATTATTTTATTATCTATTTCATTTATTATTTATAATACTTATTGTTTTAATTTAGTATTTTATTTTTTATTTTATGTTATTCATTCATTTTATTTATTTCTTTATTTATTATTTTATTTCATTTTGTTTTATTTACTTTGTTTTATTTTTATTTTATTTTATTATTTTTATTGTTATATTTTACTATTTTATTATCTATTTGATTTATTATGTATTGTTTTAATTTAATTTAATTTATTATTTTATTTTTCATTTCCTTTATTTTTTATTTTGTTATTTATTATTTCATTTATTTTTTTTTCTTTATTTTATTGTATTTATTTATTTTTATTATTTTAGTTTATTTTTTAACTAGAGGCCTCAAAGGCCATGGTAGGGGTCCCTGAAACCAGCTCTCCGACATCCCCCGAGGGGTCCCAGATTGTGGGAGAGGGTGGTCCTCGGAGGACACACCCCACAATAGGGCTTTTTCCTCTCTGGTTCCAGGTGTGACAACCACAGCTCAGCGAGCTCCTTCATCGAGCGTCTGCCCCCTGGTGGTCAGTGCGCGTCATAGCTACTGATTGGATGGTCGCTCAGGCTGTTTTGTGTATACATGTTTTTATCGATTTTACAAAAAAGGAAGGGAGGGAGATAGAGAGTTAGAAACATCCATCCGCTGCCTCCTGCACGCCCCCCACTGGGGATGTGCCCTCAGCCACCGAGGTCTGTACCCTTGACCGGAATCGAACCCGGGACCCTTCAGTCTGCAGGCTGACGCTCTATCCACTGAGCCACACCGGCTTTGGCCTGATGTAATCTTTTAAAAAAATATATATACTGATGGAAATCGGGTAGAGGGGATCTATTGGGGGGAAAGGAGGAGAAACAATTGTAATAATTTGAACAAAGATGTATTAAATTCAAAAAAAGAACATATATACTGTATATTTTTAATTTATTTCAGAGAAAAAGGGAGAGGGAGGGAGAGAGAGATAGAAACGTCCATGAGGAGAGAGAATCATAGACCGGCTGCCTCCTGCACGCCCCCTCCTGGGGATGGACCATGCAACCCAGGGCCTGTGCCCTTGACAGGGAAATCAAACCCGGGACCCTTCAGTCCACAGGTCGACGCTCTATCCACTGAGCCACACCAGCACCATCTTTCTTTTAAAAAATACAATTTTTTATTGATTTCAGATAGATGAGAAAGAGAGAGAGACAGAGCCAGAGAGACAGAGACAGAGAGAGAGACAGAGAGAGAGAGAGAGAGAGAGACGTCCATGAGGAGAGAGAATCATGGACCGGCTGCCTCCTGCACGCCCCGTCCTGAGGATGGACCCTGCAACCCAGGGCCTGTGCCCTTGACCTGGAACCGAAGCCTGACCTCCTCTCCCTTCCCCCTTCTCACCTGCTCCCAAGGTCCTCAAGTTCAGCTACAACAAACTGCGGGTGCTGACGGCCCACACCCTGCGCGGCCTGAGGGGCCTCGTGCGGCTGCACCTGGACCACAACGAGCTGGAGTTTCTGCACCCCCACGCCCTCCTCGGCCTGCGGTCCCTCCGCCTGCTGCAGCTCGAGGGAAACCGGCTGTCCCAGCTGCACCCTGCCGCCTTCGCCACCGTCCGGCCGCTCGGCCAGTTCCCGCTGTCCGGCGTCCGGCACCTGTACCTGGCCGACAACCGGCTGCGCCGGCTGCCCGAGGGGCTGCTGGGGGCCATGCCGCTGCTGGAGAACGTGTTTCTGCAGGGCAACCCCTGGGCCTGCGACTGCGACATGGGCTGGCTGCCCGGCTGGGCGGCCAGGGCTCCCGGTGAGAGGGCGGAGGGGAAGGGAGGGGAGGGAGGGAGGGAGGGACAGACCAGGGCGCTGTCTGTCTGTCAATCGGCCCCGGGGACAAGGCCCAATCTGGGCCAGCGGGCAGCTTCTCTCTCTTCTCTCTGTCTTTCTTTGTTTCTCTCTGTCGTCTTTCTTTATTTCTGTCTGTCTTTCTTTGTTTCTGTCTGTCTTTGTTTCTCTCTGTCTTTCTCTCTGTCTTTCTTTGTTTCTCTCTGTCTTTGTTTCTCTCTGTCTGTCTTTGTTTCTCTCTGTCTTTCTCTCTGTCTTTCTTTGTTTCTCTGTTTTTCTTTGTTTCTCTCTGTCTTTCTTTGTTTCTCTCTGTCTTTCTTTTTCTCTGTCCTTGTTTCTTTCTGTCTTTCTTTGTTTCTCTCTGTCTGCCTTTGTTTCTCTCTGTCTTTCTTTGTTTCTCTCTGTCTTTCTTTGTTTCTCTGTCTTTCTTTTTCTCTGTCCTTGTTTCTTTCTGTCTTTCTTTGTTTCTCTCTGTCTTTCTTTGTTTCTCTCTGTCTTTGTTTCTCTCTGTCTTTCTTTGTTTCTCTCTGTCTTTCTTTGTTTCTGTCTGTCTTTCTTTGTTTCTGTCTGTCTTTGTTTCTCTCTGTCTTTCTTTGTTTCTGTCTTTCTTTGTTTCTCTCTGTCTGCCTTTGTTTCTCTCTGTCATTCTTTGTTTCTCTCTGTCTTTCTTTGTTTCTCTGTCTTTCTTTTTCTCTGTCTTTGTTTCTTTCTGTCTTTCTTTGTTTCTGTCTGTCTTTGTATTTTTCTTTTTCTTTCTCTTCTTTCTTTCTTCGTTCTTTTTCTTTCTTTTCTCATTCTTTCTCTTCTTTCTTTTCTTATTTTTCTCACGTCATTCCTTCCTTCCTTCCTTCCTTCCTTCCTTCTTTCTTCCTTCCTTCCTTCCTTCCTTCCTTCCTTCCTTCCTTCCTTCCTTCCTTTTTCTTTCTTTCTTTCTTTCTTTCTTTCTTTCTTTCTTTCTTTCTTTCTTTTTTTTTTTTCTCCCTTCCTTCCTTCCTTCTCTTCTTTCTCTTTCTTTCTTTTCTTTTAAAAACATATATATATATTTATTGATTTCAGAAAGGGAAGGAGAGAGACAGAAACATCCATGATGAGAGAGAACCACAGATAAGCTGCCTCCTGCACGCCCCCCTTACTGAGGATGGAGCTTGCAACCCGGGCCTGTGCCCTTGACGAGGCACCGAACCCTGGACCCTTCAGTCGTCTGCAGGCCGACGCTCTACCCACTGAGCCACACCAGCCAGGGCTTCCTCCTTTCCTCCCCCCCTCTCTCTCTCTCTCTCTCTCTCTCTCTCTCTCTCTCTCTCCCCTCACTCACACCACATCTCCCCGCTTCCTTGCCTCCTTCCCCAGGCATCCTCAAGTGCAAGAAGGACAAGGCCTATGAGGGCGGCCAGCTCTGCGCGGCCTGCTCCAGCCCCCGCGCGCTCCTCGGCCGCGAGCTCCAGTCCCTCCGGGACATCCCCTGCGCCCGGCCCTCCATCGAATCCCCGCTGAGGCCCAACACGACCGGCAGTGGCAGCAGCAACAGCGTCGTCTTCGACGAGGAAGAAGAAGAAGGAGACTCGGACGAAGACGCAGACGCCGACAGCCCTCTCCCTGCGGCCGCCCTCCCGTCCCCGCCCTGGACGGTCGCCTTCAACATGACGGACGAACACGGCAACACGGTGAGTCTGGCCTGTGGCGTCCGGCAGCCGCCGCGCCTGGACGCCGTGCGGCTGAACCAGACGGAGTCCCAGGAAACGGAGGTCAACGCCACCCTCGCCCTGGAGCTCTCCTGCCCCATGACCCGGGACAAGTACGAGAAGCTGTGGAAGCTCATCGCCTACTACAGCGAGGTGCCCGTCACCCTGAACCGGGAGGTTGCTGATGCCGATGAGCCCACCGACGGCCGTGACACCCCTGGGGGGGCGGCCGCCTCCTACAGACAAGACGCCGACGCGGACGCACTGTACTACACGGGCGTCCGCGCCCGCGTGCTGGCCACGCCTGCCTGGATCCTCCAGCCGTCCGTCTGCCTGCAGCTCAATCGCCGCCAGAGCACGTCGCAGAGGGTCCTGCTGTCGTACCGGTCGCCGTTGGCCTGGTCGACTGCCAGCAGCGAGGAGGACACCGGCAGGGCCCGCGGCCGGAGCTGGGTCATGATCGAGCCGGACCCGGACGCCCCGAGGGCCCTCGCCGTCCTCGAAGGCTCGCCGTGCGAGCTGGGGTGCCGTGTGCGGGCGTCGGAGAGCCCGTCTATGGCCTGGGTTCTCCCGGACGGCTCGGTGTTATCGGCATCCGCCCGCACGGACGGCAGATTCTCCATGCTGACGGGAGGCGGGCTGAGGATCGGGGCGGCCGCGCGCGCGGACACGGGGCTGTACCGGTGCCTGGCCGCGGTCCCGGACGACACGGCCAGCCTGGCCTTCCGGGTCGTGGTGGTGCCTCGGACGGCACAGCCCCCCGAGGAAGGACGGGCGGCGAGCGTCCCCAAGAATCCGGGCGAACCCCTGATGCTGCCCTGCCGGGCGCTGGCCGTGCCCGAGGCCCAGCTCACCTGGATCCTTCCCAACCAGAGGATGGTCCACGCCTTGGCCAACACCTCCAGGGCCTACGTCCTGGCCAACGGGACCCTCTCCATCCCTGAGGTGCAGGCCGGGGACGGAGGCTTCTACCGGTGCATCGCCGTCAACCAGCAGGGGGCAGACCAGCTCACGGTGGGCGTCGCGGTCAGCAGGAGAGGGCCGGGGGGCAGGGCGTCCAAACGGGGACGGCGGCCCGGCTGGTCCCGGCCCAGAGGGGGCATCGTGGAAGACGAAGGAGGCTCGGGCATCGGCCCCCCCGGAGACACTCCGTCGAGGAGGGTCCCGCACACCAAGGAGCAGAAGGGGCGCCGGAAGCCGAAATCCTGGAGGCACCCCGAGAAGGAGCCGGAGGCAGAGAGCCGGGTCGCCGAGGGCCGCCGCGGGTTCGAGTCCAGGCGGAGGGTCCACGTGGCCAGCAAGCAGATCAACCCGGACCACTGGGCCCACATCCTGGCCCGGGTCCGAGGGAGGAACCCCTCCAGGGACGGGGGGACGGTGGAGACCGCCACGGCGCCCGCCGAGACCACCGACAACGCCACGCCCGTCCGTCCTGTCCCTCCTCCTCCCTCCGCGTCCCCCGCAGCCCACAGGACAGCCGGCCCTGACGAGGAATTCTCGGCAGACGCTCTGTTCGTGGGGGAGGAAGACCCCGTATCCGGGCCTGGAGTCCTGACAACAGAAGCCGGAGCCACCAGCTCCGATCTCACCGGCTCCGATCGACGGGAATCCATTGACGACGATGACGACGAGGAGTTTTCTGAAAACACACAGGGTCTACCTCCGTGGGCCGTGGCCACCCCAGGGCCATCGGAGGTGCCTTACAAGTCTTCGACGCCCCAGATCCTGGGCCCGACCGACGAGGAATCCGTCAGCGATCACATGCCCACCGACAGCTGGTCTACTCCAGCCATGGACAACTGGTCTACTCCAGCCATGGACAACTGGTCTACCCAACCCATGGACAACTGGTCTACCCAACCAATGGACAACTGGTCTACCCAACCCATGGACAACTGGTCTACCCAACCCACCATGGACAACTGGTCTACCCGACCCATGGACAACTGGTCTACTCAGCCCATGGATAACTGGTCTACCCGACCCATGGACAATTGGTCTACCCGACCCATGGACAACTGGTCTACCCAACCCATGGACAACTGGTCGACCCAAGTTGGCCCCACCATCGCCATGGAAGACCGGTCGATGACGGCGGCAGACGTTGGGCCTGTGCCCGAGCCAACATCTCGTGAGAGCATGTCCCCCTCGGCTGCCATCTCCGTGGGCCCGTCGGACTCCCAATGGGAGACCCGTTCAGCATCGGATGAGGACAAGAAGGAAGGACAGGCCTCCCGAGGCGTCGCCCCAACGCCCGCCTTGTCCGCGGTGGACCCCTGGGCCGGAAAAGGCTCAGAGGAGGACCCTCGGAAGCTTCCGGAAGGAGTCACGCCGGGGAGAGCGCCCCCAAGCTCCCGAGGATCCACAATGGAGCGTTTCGGCGTGGAATCCACCCCGTTGCTTGGTTTTCTCGCTGAGAACCAAGTGGGTCCCGTGGCGCCCGCCACGTTCACTCCCCCTCCCCGGAAACGGCCCCACGGTGGGGGGAGGAGGCGGCCACGGCCCCACCGCGCCCGACAGCGCCACAAGGCGACGCGTACGCCCACCACCATGTCCGCCCCGACGGGGGCCTTCTCCCCTGGAGTCATTCAAGACCCCGAAGCCGTGACCCCCGGGCGAGGGGACGGGTGGTCGGCGCCCACCTCTTGGGGGCAGCCTACGGCGGGGACCCCCAAACAGGTGAGTGTGGAGACGCCTGCGGAGCCCGCGACCAAGGGGACCCCACGGAGAAAGCACGGCAGGAGGCCGAACAAACACAGGCACAGCACCTCCACGGTGGGCACTCCAGAGAAGACGCCGACGGATACAGCCACTGCTCCCCATCCGGGCACGGCCCTGGTGCCCGCCACCTTCTCCCTGGGAATCGGGGGCCCCCATGAGGCCATGACAGCAGCAGCAGCAGCAGCAGCTTCTAGCACCACCACCACCCCCAACACACACACATCTCGTGGTGCACCCCAAGATGCAGCGCTGGCCACGTCCACGCCCGCGTCCGAGGAGAGAGAGACGGAGACTTCCGATGACTCCGACATGCGTGACGCCACCCGTGAGCCCGTCACCCGTGTCCCGGCACCGCCCGGGTTCGAGACCTCCACCGTGAGAGACACGAAGAACGCATTCTTAACGTCGAGCTTTCCGGGAACGGAAAACGGGGGTCGGCCGAGGACGGCCCAGCCCGGGGGTCTGCAGACGGACGCCCCCGCCACCCACTCTTTGGAGACCCCAACGCACGCGTCACCCTCTCCCCAAGAGTCGGGGGACCCGGGTTTGCCCTCGGAGGCCCCCCCGTCAGTGTCCGTGACGCGCTCTATGCAAGAAGGCGTGGTTGCTTCGTCTGCATGGAGCGCGGGTGTAGACACAGCTGCTCGTCGGGATGGATCCACCACCCGTGGTGGGGGTCCTGGTGTCCTCACGCCAGCCCCGTTCCCAGCCACCCGTCCCATGACTGTGCATCCCACCACCACGGATACCGTCTACCGCCCGTCAAGCCCGCCACCTCCTCCAGTGTCCACGGATTCCTCCAACCTCGTGGGGGTCCCCAGAACCCAAACGGAGGAGAAGGAGGAGGAGGAGAAGGAGAAGGAGAAGGGGGAAGAGAAGGAGAAGAAGGAGGAGGAGGAGGAGGAGGAGGAGATGGAGGAGGAGGAGGAGGAGGAGGAGATGGAGGAGGAAAAGAAGAAGGAGAAGAAGAAGGAGGAGAAGGAGGAAGAGAAGAAGAAGGAGAAGAAGGAGGAGGAGGAGAAGGAGGAGGAGGAGGAGGAGATGGAGGAGAAGAAGATGGAGATGGAGGAGGAGGAGAAGGAGAAGGAGGAGAAGATGACACAGCCAACATGGTGGCCAGTACATGCCCCAACCACCCCATCTCCCAGGACAGACGCCGCTCCCGTCACTCCAAGCCGGGAGGTCACTGGGAAGGCCGAGAAGACCACACACATCCTTCTACGCAGCCCCGATGGTCCCCACCACCACCACCCCCTTCTCCCAACCCAGCCGGCCGGCGTCTCCGGCCCGCCCGTCCCTCCGAGGGGGACCTGGAGACCTCCCGCATGGACCACACGGAGCCCCTTCCGATCCCCCACGACCGTCCATCCTCCTCGTCACCACGGAACCAGCAGGCTGAGCATCGTGACGTCCCCGTGGCACGTCCTACGGGACCGCACGCTCTCGGCCTCGACGACGACGACGACGACGACGACGGTGGCAATGCCGAGACCGACCCCTTCCAGCCTGGCCATGGGCCACGGAACGAACCCAACCACCCGTCACGGCCGCACACAGGCGCTCGGCTCCAACAGCCTCCCCGACGTCAGACCCCCTCACCCGTCCAGCGGGAGGTCCTCGTTCTTGCTCAACAGGGCCTTCCCGTGGCCACCGTCGGCCGTGACCCCCAAGACCCAGACCCCGGCCCCTCCCACCCCAGGGACCCGGGCGCGAGCCGTCCACCCGTTTGCCAGCGACCGTCGCATCCGCACTCAGACCGTCATCTCCCACGTGGACTTGGGGCCCCCGGCCCCGCCGGCCCCTCCGTCTCCGCCACCGCCGTCCTCCACCCGCCCTGTCCCCTTCATGACAGCACCCCCCAGGCCGCCTTCCGGAACCTTCCGTCCGGGCGGGGCCAGGGTCTTCTCGGCAGCGGGAGGGCCGCCGGCTGCGTCTAAGCTCTGGGCAGCTGGGGAGGCGCCGAGGATCATCAGCAAGTCGCCCCCGACCGTGACCGTCACGGCCGAGGCGGACGCTGCAATTCCATGCGAGGTCACAGGGAGGCCAGAGCCCTTTATAACCTGGACCAAGGTCTCCACCGGTAAGGCGGGGGGCGGGGCGAGGGGGGCGGAGCGTCTGCACGTGTTTTTGTTTGTTTGTTTTGTTGATTTTTTTTTCACCGAGAGGAAGGGAGAGGGAATAGAGAGCCAGAAACATCGATGATGGGAGAGAAACATCCATCCGCTGCCTCCTGCACGCCCCCCACTGGGGATGTGCCCTCAGCCACCGAGGCCCATGCCCTTGACCGGGAATCGAACCCGGGACCCTTCCGTCCAGCAGGCCGACGCTCTGTCCACTGAGCCACACCGGTTTCGGCTATATACTCTTGGAGGTGTATTTTACACACACACACACACACACACACACACACAATGACACACACAAACGTGAAACATTGGCACAGTCATTCTCAAGGACTATAAAAAAAAAAAGTTTCAGGCCATTGATGGAAAAGTGGGTGTATCCGGAATCTTTTCCGGCGTGGCTCAGTGCTGGAGCGTCGACCTAGGAACCAGGAGGTCACGGGTTTGATTCCTGATCTAGGCCCGTGTTGCGGGCTCCATCCCCAGGAGGGGGCATATAGGAGGCATCTGATTGATGATAATTCTCTCTCATCATGGATGTTTCTCTCTCTCTCTCTCTCCCTCTCTAAAATCAAGAAAAATATATATATTTTTTTTTTTTAAAAAAGAAAAAAATCTGAACAGTTGGTGTGGTTCCATGGTTGAGCATCAAGAGGTCTCAGGATTGGATTAACAGGCAGGGCACATTACTTGTAATAATACAAATGCACTCAGTGCCCAGATGATGATGGTCTGTGAACGCATAATAACCTGGCCACTCAGTGTGTGTGTGCATAGATAGATAGATAGATTAGATTAGATATAGATGATAGAGAGATAGATAGATTAGAGGCACGGTGCATGAATGCGTACATGGGCGGGGTTCGGCCAGCCTGGCCAGGGGGAGGGGACGTGGGTGGCCGGCCGGCCTGCCTGCTGGTTGAACTCCCGGTCGAGGGGACCATTTGCATATGAGCCTTTTATTCTATAGGACAGACACAGCCAGATGGTTATGTGTTCTGAGATCATCATCTGGTCACTCGTGTGTGCGTGTGTGTGTGTGTGTGTGTGTGTGTGTATATATATACAGATATATGTATATATACAGAGATATATATATATATATATACACACACACACATATATATATATATATATATCTGTATATCTGTATATGTATATGCATATCATACACTGGACCATATGTGTGTGTGTGTGTGTGTGTGTGTGTGTGTGTGTGTGTGTGTATATCATACACTGGACCATATATATGTGTGTGAGTGTATATGTATATGTATATGTGTGTATGTATGTATATATATATATATATATATATATATATATATCATACACTGGGCCGTATATATGTATACACACAGACACACACACACACACACAAAGTGGCCAGATGATTATGCGTTCAGAGATTATGATCGTCTGGCTACTCCGTGTAAATTTCATGAAATAAAGTTTAAAAAAAGAAAGCCCTAGTCGGAGTGGCTCAGTGGATAGAGCGTCGGCCTGCGGACGGAAGGGTCCCAGGTTCGATTCCTGGTCAAGGGCATGGCCCTTGGTTGCGGGCACATCCCCAGGTGGGGGGCGTGCAGGAGGCTGCTGATGGATGTTTCTCTCTCATCGATGTTTGACTCTCTCTCCCTTTCCCTTCCTCTCTGCAAAAAAATCAATAATATATATCTATATCTATATATATATACATATATATATAGATATAGATATAGATATAGATATATTTTAAAATATATTTTATTGATTTTTTACAGAGAGGAGGAAAAAGGGATAGAGAGCTAGAAATGTTGACGAGAGAGAAACCTCCATCAGCAGCCTCCTGCACGCCCCCTACTAGGGATGTGCCCGCAACCAAGGACCATGCCCTTGACCAGGAATCGAACCTGGGACCCTTCCGTCCGCAGGCCGACGCTCTACCCACTGAGCCACACTGGTTTCGGCTGATGGACGTTTCTAACTCTCTATCTCTCTCCCTTCCTCCTGCAAAAAATTACTAATAAAATTTTTTTTTTTTTTAAATGGGGGGACATTTCTCCGGAGCCTCACCCCCCCCCCTCCTTCTTGGTCCTTCCCTTGCAGGCGCCCTGCTGACCCCCAATACCCGCGTCCAGCGCTTCCAAGTCCTCAAAAACGGCACTTTTCTCATCCACCGTGCCCAGCCCCAGGACCGGGGCCAGTACGTGTGCACTGCCCAGAATCTGCATGGCGCCGACCGGCACTCCGTCCTGCTGTCCGTGTCCACCCAGCTCCCCCAGATCCTGCCGGCCTCCCCGTCCCAATCCCATACCCAGTACCAGGACATCACCGTGTCCCTGGGGGACACCATCTCCATGGAGTGCCTGGCCCGGGGCACCCCCCTGCCACAGATCTCCTGGATCTTTCCCGATCGCCGTGTCTGGCTCCAGGCGTCCCCCGTGGAGAGCCGGGTGACCGTCCACCCAAACCGGACCCTGTCCATCAAGGAGGCGTCCTTCTCCGATCAGGGCGTGTACCGGTGCGTGGCCAGCAACGCCGGGGGCGCCGACAGCCTGGCCATCCGTCTGCACGTGACCGCACTGCCCCCCGTGATCCAGCAGGAGGCGACGGAGAACATCACTCTGGCCCCCGGGCTGAGCGTCCACATCCACTGCGCGGCCAAGGGGGCGCCGGCCCCCGCCGTGCGCTGGCTGCTGCCCCCCGACGGCACCCCGATCCGGCCCTCGCAGTTCCTCCGGGGGAAGCTGTTCCTGTTCCCCAACGGGACCCTCTACATCAGGAACCTGGCCCCCAAGGACTCCGGCCGGTACCAGTGCGTGGCCGCCAACCTGGTGGGCTCCGCCCGCCGGGAGGTGGCGGTGACCGTGAGGGCCCCCGGGGCGGCCGCCAACGCCCGCATCACGGGCAGCTCCCCGCGCAGGACGGACGTGCGCTTCGGGGGGACCCTGCGGCTGGACTGCAGCGCGTCCGGCGAGCCCTGGCCACGTGTGCTGTGGAGGCTGCCCTCCAAGCAGATGGTGGACGGAGTCTTCAGGTAGGTGCGAGGCCCTGGCTGCTGGGGAGGCGTTCAGCCGTTCGTCATGGCACTCCTGTGAGCCATCCATCCCTCCACCCATCCACTCATCCATGTACCCATCCATCTATTCCATCCATCCATCCACCCATCCATGTACCCATCCATGTATCCATCCATCTATTCCATCCATCTATGTATCCATCCGTCTATGTATCCACCCATCCATCCATCCATCCACCCATCCATCCATCCACCCATCCATGTATCCATCCATCTATTCCATCCATCCATCCATCCACCCATCCATCCATCTATGAATCCATCCATCCATCCGTCCATCCACCCACCCATCCATCCATTCATCCACCCATCCATCCACCCATTCATGTATCCATCCATCTATTCCATCCATCTATGTATCCATCCATCTATGTATTCACCCATCCATCCATCCACCCATCCATCCATCCATCCACCCATCCATGTATCCATCCATCTATTCCATCCATCCATGTATCCATCCACCCATCCATCCATCTATGAATCCATCCATCCATCCACCCACCCACCCATCCACCCATCCACCCAACCATCCATCCACCTATCCATCTATCCACCCATCCATCCATCCTTCCATCGCGCTCCTGTGAGCCATCCATCTATCCATCCATCCACCCACCATTGTGCTCCTGTGCACCATCCATCCACTCATCCTCCCATCCATTCATTCATCCATCCATCCATCCATCCATCCATCCACTCATCCTTCCATACATTCACCCATCCACCTATCCATCCTTCTGTCCATCTACCTATCTATCCATCCATGTATCCGTCCATCCATCCATCCACCCAGTCATTCTATTCATTTATCCATCCACCTATCTATCCTTCTATCTGTCCATCCATCCAACCACTATTGTGCTCCTGTGAGCCATCCATCCATCATCCATCCATCCATCCACCCACCATTGTGCTCCTGTGAGCCATCCATCCATCCATCATCCATCCATCCATCCATCCATCCATCCACCCACCATTGTGCTCCTGTGAGCCATCCATCCATCCATCATCCATCCATCCATCCATCCGTCCATCCACCCACCATTGTGCTCCTATGAGCCATCCATCCATCCATCCATGTATCCATCCTCCCATCCAACCATCAATCCATCCATCCATCCATCCATCCATCCACCATTGTGCTCCTGTGAGCCATCCATCCATCTATCCATCATCCATCCATCCATCCACCCATTATTATGCTCCTGTGAGCCATCCATCCATCCATCCATCCATCCATGTATCCATCCTCCCATCCAACCATCCATCCATCCATCCACCCATCATTGTGCTCCTTTGAGCCATCCAGCCATCCATCCGTCCGTCCGTCCGTCCGTCCATCCATCCATCCTCCCATCCATCCATCCACCCACCCACCCATCCATCCATCCCCCATCGCCCTCCTGCGTGCCCCTCTCCTTTCACAAATAGAGACAGTCCCACCCGGGGAGGTCTCCTTGGGGTGCCCTTGGGCAGGATAAAGGCCCACAGGTCTTGCTCCCCATGTGGACTGGTTCTGGGGGTACATGAGTTTTTCACACCATGATGCCTGGTCTTTATAAGCTAGAGTGCCTGTTTGCCCAGGCTTACATCGGAGTTCGTTCTCTCTCTCTCTCTCTCTCTCTCTCTCTCTCTCTCTCTCTCTCTCAATAACATGAGGATATTTTTTCCCATAGAGTTTTTACAAAGTGGAGAGGGGGGAGAAGGAGGTGAGGGAGAGAAACATCGATGTGAGAGACAGACACATCCCGCATGGCCTGACCAGGGTCCCCGACCTGGAGCCCACACACAACCCAGATCCATGCCCTTGATCAGAATCAAACACCCTGGACCTCTGAGAACCCCTGTAACCACTGAACCACGTGGGCCAGGACCAATGCTTTTCGTTTAAATAATTGATAGTTTAAAAACTGTATAATTTTCTTTAAAGTATATTTTATTGATTTTTTTTTTTTTTTTTTTTTTTTTTTTTTTTTACAGAGAGGAAGAGAGAGGGACAGAGAGTTAAGAAACATCGATGAGAGAGAATCATCGAAGAGCTGCCTCTTGCAAACCCTCATAGGGGTGTCGAACTCAATCAGAGAAGGGACCAAAATCTAAAATCCAGCCTAAATCGCGGGCCGAATGGTTTACTGAACAGTCATAAACTGTCATTGTGATGGAAACGCAGCGGAGTGCAGTGAGGACAGCGCGGTGCGGGCCACATTGCAAGGCCTGGAGGGACGGATTTGGCCCGCGGGCCTTGTGTTTTGACACATGTGCTCTACTGGATAGGTGCCTGCAACCAAGGGTACACGCCCTTGACCGGAATAGAACCTGGGACCTTTCAGTCCGCAGGCCGATGCTCTATCCACTGAGCCACACAGTCTGAGCTCTATCATTTCTTTTATTTTTTTTTTTTCAAACGTTGCTTTTTATAATTAGGAATTGAAATGTGAACATACATTTGCTTTTTCTTTTTAACATGGCTTTGTTTTCTTGCTATTGATAATATTAATACATGAGTTATTTATATTGACATAGCACTTCACCATTTAAAAACCCTTTGAAAAAATAAATAAGAACCCTTTTAGGCCCAGTTGGCATGGCTTAGTGGTTGAGCATTGACTTAGGAACCAAGAGATCATGGTTTGATTCCTGCCAAGGCACATGCATGGGTTGTAGGCTCAATCCCCCAATCCCGGTGGGGAGCAGGCAATCAATGATTCTTTTTTATTGATGTTTTTATCTCTTCCTCTCTGAAATCAATAAAAATATATTGTAAAACATAAAAAATAAAATAAAAAGCCCTTTTAAGTATATGAAAGTTTATAGAGCAAGATAAGGAGATGGACTAATACAAAATTAAATTCATGGTAAAGGTAGTGAATTAGAACCTAAGTGTTCTAACTTCTAGTCCATTATTTGTTCGTCTGTCAGTCTTAACAGTCAGGAAAACAGTCAGGAACAAAGGATGAAAAAGGGAGAGTTTAAGAAGTTTTAAAGCAGGGGAAGGAATTTCTAATTTAGGCATTAAATATTAGATATTGAGTTGTACATTAGCATCTTATTTTTTATCTTTAAACTTGGGCATATATCTTTTGAAGGTTGGATAATAAGCCATACTATTTATGAATTTAAGCATAGTTTATATTGTCGCTAGGCAAACGACTTTTTTTTTACTGTCATATTTAAACTCTTATTGCAATATGTATTATAGTGGATCTCAGAAGAAATCATTTCTTTATTTTTATAATTTAAGTGTGCTTTCATTGATTTCAGAGAGGGAGGGACAGAAACATTCATGAGGAGAGAGACTCATCATCAATATTTCTAACTCTCTCTCCTTCTCCCTTCCTCTCTGTAAAAAAAAAAAAAAAAAAAAAAAAAAAGAAATCAATAAAGTATATTAAAAAGAAAAGTAAAATAAAATTTGATTTTTATTGATGTCAGAGAGGAAGGGAGAGGGAGAGAGAAACATCCACGAGGAGAGAGAATCATGGATCAGCCCCCCTCCTGGGGATGGAGCTTGCAACCCAGGCCTGTGCCCTTGACTGGGAATCGAACCCGGGACCCTTCAGTCTGCAGGCCCGTGCTCTATCCACTGAACCACACCAGTCAGGACTCTATCATTTCTTTCCTTATTTTTATAATTTAAATGTGTTTTTATTGATTTCAGAGACAGAAGGGAGAGAGAGAAACATCCATGAGGAGAGAGAATCAGATATCAGCTGCCTCCTGCACACCCCTTCCTGGGGACGGTGCCCCCAAACCCCGGGGTAGGCGGCCCTTGATCGGAATCGGACCCAGGACCCTTCCGTCCGCAGGCGCACGCTCTATCCACTGAGCCACACCGGCCAGGGCTGTGTGTGGAGGTGGCATTGGCGAGCCTGAGACTGCGGCGAGGATGAAAGATTCCACCCTGGGGCCGTTCTACCTCTGAATCACCGGTTTGGACAGCTGACAATTTATCTTCCTCGTTCACAGTTCCCTGAACAACCCGCGTGTTTGAGGAGCTGGAAACGTTGAAACATGCAGGTACAGGAATGCCCCGGAGTGCGTTCCATTCTGATTAAGATCGGGGCGGGAATATTATTGGTTTTTTACAGAGAAGAAGAGAGAGAGAGAGAGAGAAAGAGAGTCAGAAACATCGATGAGAGAGAATCATCCATCCGCTGCCTCTTGCACGCCCTCCACTGGGGATGTGCCCTCAGCCACCAAGGTCCATGCCCTTGACCGGGAATCGAACCCGGGACCCTTCAGGATGCAGGCCGACCCTCTATCCACTGAGCCAAACCGGTTTCGGCTGTTTTTTTTTTTTTTAAACATTTTAATCTAAAAGAACTGACCACTCGCCCTCACTGCTGTAGCTCAGTGGATAGAGCGTCGGCCTGCAGACTGAAGGGTCCTGGGTTCGATTCTGCTGGAGGGCATGTACCTTGGTAGCGGGCACATCCCCAGAGGGGGGGTGGAGGGGTGTGCAGGAGGCAGCTGGTGGATGATTCTCTCTCATCGATGTTTCCGGTTCTCTATTCCTTTCTCTTCCTCTCTGTAAAAAGTCAATAAAATGTATTAAAAATAAATAAATAAAAATAAAAGAACTGACCACTTGCCCTCACTGGTGTAGGTCAGTGGATAGAGCGTCGGCCTGCGGACTGGAGGGTCCTGGGTTCGATTCCTGGTCAGGGCACAGGCCCGGATGGTGGGCTCCATCCCCAGTGGGGGGGGGGGGGGCGTGCAGGAGGCAGCGGATCCATAATTCTCTTTCCTCGTGGATGTTTCTGTCTCTCTCTTCCTTTCTGACATCAATAAAAATGTATTTTTTTTAAGTAAATAAATACATAAAAATTTTGGGGAGATTTAGCACAGCCAGTGTGGTTCAGTGGTTAAGCGTTGACCTAGGAACCAGGAGGTCAAGGGCACTGGCCTGGGTTGCAGGCTTGATCCCCAGTAGGGGGCGTGCAGGAGGCAGCCGATGCATGATTCTCTCTCCTCATGGATGTTTCTCTGTCTCTCTCTTCCTCTCCCAGCCTCTCTGAGATCAGTAAAAATATATTTTTAAAAAACTATCTTAGCTGAAACCGGTGTGGCTCAGTGGATAGAGCGTCGGTCTGCGAACTGAAAGGTCCCAGGTTCGATTCCAGTCAAGGGCATGTACATTGGTTGTGGGCACATCCCCGGTAGGAGGTGTGCAAGAGGCAGCTGGTCGATGTTTCTCTCTCATCGACGTTTCTAGCTCTCTATCCCTCTCTCTTCCTCTCTGTAAAAAATCAATAAAATATATTTAAAACACACACACACACACAAAACTATTCTATAAAGGTCTTTATATTTAAAAAAAAAATTTCCGTTGTCCCATCCCTAACATGTAATAATCTAAGCCTTCTTGGACATTAGACGTTTTTATGCATTAGGTTAATGTAATCACTAGGGGTCGGCCTGCAGACCGAAGGGTCCCGGGTTCGATTCCTGGTCAGGGGCCCGTTCCTCTGGGTTCTGATCAGGGCGCATGCAGTAGTCACCCCATCGATGTTTCTCTCTGTGTCTCCCTCTCTCCTCTTCTTCTCTCTCAGGAGATCCATGGGAAAAATATCTTTGGTTGAAAATTCACACACACACACACACACACACACACACACACACACACGTTATTCTCAGTGATGTAAGCCAGCCAGAGAAAGGTGAATATCCCATGATCTCTCTCATGAACAGCATACACCGATCCAGAGACAGAGGCGCACCGATCGGATGCTCAAACCTCAGAGGGAAGGCAGGGGAGGGTGGGGGTGAGGGGAAGAGATCAAGCAAAGGACTTGTCTGCGTGCATAGAGGCCTAACCAATGAACACAGACACCAGGGGCTGACGGTGAGGGCAGGATTGAGGATGGGGGAGAGCAATGGGGGGGCTAAGCACATGTTTGTAATGCCTTAATCAATAAAGGAGGAGGAGGATATGGAGGAAAAGGAGATGGAGGGGGGGGAGGAGGAGGAGGAGGAGGAGGAGGAGGAGGAGGAGAAGGAAAAGATGGAGGAGGAGGAGAAGGAGGAAGAGATGGAGGAGGAGAAGGAGGAAGAGATGGAGGAGGAGATGGAGGAGGAGAAGGAGGAAGAGGAGTAGATGGGGGAGATGGAAGCGGAGGAGGAGATGGAGGAGGAGAAGAAGGAGATGGAGGAGAAGGAGGAGAAGATGAAGGAAAAGGAGGAGATGGAGGAGGAGGAGAAGGAGGAAGAGGAGTAGATGGAGAAGAAGGAGGAGATGGAGGAGGAGGAGAAGGAGGAGATAAAGGAGGAGGAGGAGGAGAAGATGGAGGAGGAGGAGAAGGAGGAAGAGATGGAGGAGAAGGAGGAAGAGATGGAGGAGGAGAAGATGGAAGAGGAGGAGGAGATGGAGGAGGAGAAGGAGGAAGAGGAGGAAAAGAGGGAGAGGAGAAGGAGGAAGAGGAGGAGGAGATAGAGGAGGAGATAGAGGAGGAGAAGGAGGAAGAGGAGGAGAAGGAGGAGCAGGAAGGAGGAAGAAAGAAGAAAGAACAACAACAGAAAAGAACAACTTGAAGAACAACAACCATAAACCATGACCTGGTTCGCAGGTCCACGCCCAGCCCCTGCGACCTCCTGTCTCTGTGCATCCTGTCCACCTCATTCCTTTCTCTTCTTCTTTCTTCTTTTTTTTTTTTTTTCCTCCCCTTTCCCCCTCCCTCAGCCTGGACCCCCGCGTCCGTGTCCTGGCCAACGGCACCCTCGTGGTCCACGCCGTCACCGAGCGGGACGCGGGCGACTACCTGTGTGTGGCCCGCAACAAGGCCGGCGATGACTTTGTGGTCCTGGGCGTCAACGTGGTCACACGGCCGGCCAGGATCGAGCAGAAGGACGCCGGCCACCACCATCCCCACCACCACCAGCATTCCCACCACCAGCACCACCGTGTCCCGTACGGCGGCGACCTCCGTGTGGACTGCGTGGCCTCGGGCCTCCCGGACCCCGAGATCTCCTGGAGCCTGCCGGACGGGAGCCTGGTGCACCCCTTCGTGCAGTCGGACGGCGGCGACGGCGTCATCAACGGCGTTGGCGGTGGGGCACGGTCCAAGCGTTACGTGGTGTTCCACAACGGGACCCTGTTCTTCAACGAGGTCGGCCTCCGCGAGGAGGGGGACTACACCTGTGTCGCCGAGAACAGGGCGGGCAAGGATGCCATGACCGTGCGGGTCAAGGTGGTGACAGCGCCCCCTGTCATCCGGAACAAGACGCACGCCGTCCTGCGGGTGCCTTACGGCGACACGGCGTCACTTGCCTGTGAGGCCAAGGGCGAGCCGCCGCCCAGGATCACCTGGCTGTCGCCCGCCAACAAGCTCATCCCGAGCGGCCCCGCAGACAAGTCCCACGGCGGCCCCGCAGACAAGTCCCACGGCGGCCCCGCAGACAAGTCCCACGGCGGCCCCGCAGACAAGTCCCACGGCGGCCCCGCAGACAAGTACCAGGTCTACCAAGATGGCACGCTGCTCATCCAGAAGGCCCAGAGAGCCGACAGCGGCAACTACACCTGCGTGGCCCGCAACACAGCCGGGGAGGACCGCAAGTCGGTGTGGGTCCAGGTCCACGTTCGGGCGCCCACCATCAACGGCCACGCGGACCCCGTGGCCACGGCGAGCGAGGCCGGCCTGGTGGGCAGCCGGAAACTCATCGACTGCCTCGCCCGGGGCGTCCCCGCGCCCAGAGTCCTGTGGGCCTTCCCCGAGGGCGTCGTCCTGCCCGCCCCGTATTTCGGGAACCGGGTGACCATCCACCGCAACGGGACGCTGGACATCCGCAGCCTCAGGAGCAGTGACGCCGTCCGGCTGGCCTGCATCGCGCGCAACGAGGGCGGCGAGGCCCGGATGACGGTGCAGCTCGCCGTCCTGGAGCCCCCGACGTTCCACGACCCTGCGGACGAGACCATCACGGCCGCGGCCGGCCACACCATCAGCCTCAACTGCTCGGCGTCCGGCGTCCCGGCCCCCACGCTCCAGTGGGCGCTGCCCAACGGGACGCAGCTCCCCGGGGGCTGGCAGCTGCAGCGGTTTTTCCACAAGCAGGACGGCATGCTGCACATCGCCGGGCTGGCGGCGGCCGACGCCGGCGCCTACCGGTGCGTGGCCAGCAACGCGGCCGGCCGGGCCGAGCGGCGGGTGTCCCTGCGGGTGGGCCTCGGCGCGCCGGACGCCAAGCAGCAACAGTATCGCAACCTGGTGAGCATCGTGCACGGGGAGACGCTGGAGCTGAAGTGCTTGCCCCCGGGGCCGCGTCCGGCCGCGTCCGGGGGCCACCCAGCGCGCGTCTCCTGGACGCTGCCCAGTGGCGTGTCCCTCCGGGGGCCGCAGACGAGAGGCCGTGTCTCCGCGCGGGAGAACGGTTCGCTCATCGTGCGGGAGGCGTCCGTGTACGACCGTGGCACGTACGTGTGCAGGAGGACGGGAAACGGCGAGGACGGCGCGTCCGCGGTCAGCTTCCCGGTCATCGTCATCGCCTACCCGCCCCGCATCACCAGCCAGCCGGCGCCGGTGACGTACGCGCGGCCGGGGACCGCCGTGCGCATGGACTGCGTGGCCGTGGGGCTCCCCAAGGCCCAGATCACCTGGGAGCTCCCCGACGGGTCCCAGCTGGCCGCAGGGACGCAGGCCCGGATGTATGGACACAGATTCCTGCACCCACAGGGGTCCCTCACCCTCCAGCAGGTCGCCCCGAGAGACAGGGGGTTCTACAAGTGCACGGCCAAAAACGTGCTGGGCACAGACTCCAAGACCACCTACGTCCACGTCTACTGAGGCATGGACTAGTATAGGGCAATGGGTCTTGTGGACAGAAGGATTGTCCCTGGCTCGATTCCTTCTCGGTCAAGGGTGATTGAAGGCACATGCCCGGGTGGCAGGCTCTCATCCCCAGGGGGGGAGACGTGCAGGAGGCAGCCGATCCATGGTTCTCTCTCATCGCTGATGTTTCTCTCTCTCTCTCTCTCTCTCTCTCTCTCTCTCTCTCTCTCTCTCTCTCTCTCTCTCTCCTTCTCTCTTCCTCTCTCTCTCAAGTCAATAAAAATAAATTTACCAAAAAAAAAGAAAAGAAAAGAAAAGAAAAGAAAAAGGAATGGGAGAGAGGAGATTCAAGAAGGAATCCAAAGACGGAAGATAGTTTTGAAAGACATTGCAGGGGAAGGTGTCAGAGGAGCGTCAGCTGAAGGGACTGGAGACTACGCCCTTGACTCAGGACCCCTTGCTTTTTTTATTAGCACAATCTGTGCTAAGGCGAGGTGGCTAAAGACTACCCCTTGTCCCAGGACCCCTTGCTGTTTATTAACACAATTTGTCGGAAAGCAAGGTGGCTAAAGACTGCCCCTTGTCCCAGGACCCCTTGCTGTTTATTAACACAATTTGTCGGAAAGCAAGACGGCTAAAGACTGCCCCTTGTCCCAGGACCCCTTGCTATTTTTTATTAGCACCATCTGTCCTAAGGCAAAGTGGAGATGATACACGTCAAAGGAGGGGTGGGGGTGCAGAATCCATTGTCAGATTGGGGACTAGCCTAGAGATATTTGGGTATTTGGCCAACAGGGGGCAATAACATGCATCCTATTCGGGTTTGGGGGAAGTGCCGTTCAGGCATTCTTAGATTTAAAAAAATTTTTTAAAATTTAAAAAATTAAAAAAAAAAAATGACATGCTGGAATTGGCTTCCAGCCCCTTAGGACTTTGAAGCAGGAAATGTCCACAGGTGGCGGTGGCCTTGACCTGCAGGAAGCCCTGCAGACGGCGGGGCAGGGAGGGCCACAGATTCACCCGGGACTCGCTCGCCTGCCTGCTTACAGGACACACCGTCCACAGGGTCTCTCTCCTCTGGCATTATTTTCACAGCATTTCGGTGGAAAATGGAGATTTCTATGTGGCCAGTGCCTGTCTGTGGGATGTTGGAGGAGCATTCTCTGAGCATGAACCCCAGATAGGAACCCTGCCCAGTTATCTCCCCCTGCTTAACCCTCTTACCATTTTTTTTTTTTTAAACCATAGAACGTTCTAGAATCCATACCCACCCTTCTGTTTAGGATGACTGTCATTTCTAAACTCTAGCTTGCCCAAAAAGGGCTTGGAACCAGAATGATTTAAAAAAAAAAAAAAAAGGTTTTATTTTTAATATATTGATTTGGGAGAGGAAGGGAGAGGGAGAGAGGGAGAGGGAGAGGGAGAGGGAGAGGGAGAGGGAGAGAGAGAGAGAGAGAGAGAGAGAGAGAGAGAAAGAGAGAGAGAGAGAGAGAGAGAGAGAGAGAGACATCCATGAGGAGAGAGAATCATGGACCAGCTGCCTCCTGCACGCCCCCTACTGGGGATGGAGCCCCCAACCCTGGGCCTGTGCCCTTGACCAGGAATCGAACCCGGGACCCTTCAGTCGAAGAGGCCGACGCTCTGTCCACTGAGCCACACCTGCCAGGGCCATGCTGACTTTTAAATAAAAAAGATTTGCATTGATTTCAGAGAGGAAAGGAGAGGGAGAGATTGAGAGAAACATCCATGAGGAGAGAGAGTCATGGATCAGCTGCTTCCTGCACGCCCCCTACTGGGGATGGAACCCCCAACCCTGGGCCTGTGCCCTTGACCGGGAATCGAACCCTCACCTCCTGGTTCCTAGGGTCCACGATCAACCACTGAGCCACACCAGCTGGGCAAAGTGATCTTTAAAAAATATATATTATTGATTTTTCACAGAGAGGAAGAGAGAGAGAGAGACAGAGAGTTAGAAACTTGGATGAGAGAGGAACATCCATCAGCTGCTTCCTGCACACACACCCCCTCCCCCAGCTAGGGATGTGCCCTCAGCCACCAAGGTCCACGCCCTTGACCTGGGAATCGAACCCGGGACCCTTCTGTCCGCAGGCTGGCGCTCTGCCCACTGAGCCAGCCACACCAAATTTTCGGCCAACACAAAATTTTAAAAAATGGGACAACTTTCCTACCGTACAGCTACCATTTTATATATGAAAAACAAAACAAACAAACAAAAAAAAAACGTTCCTTTCCACCCCCCTCCCTTTGCTGGAATTCACTTTTTTATATATAAATATAAAATATATATATATTTTTTTCTTTCTTTCTTTCTAATTTGACGATGAGGCTAGGAGGAGAACGAAACCCCTTCTCTGCCTCATGAAAAAAAGAATAAATTATTTGCTCTTTGCGAGGCATCGGAGAGCAGGCGTGGAAAGGCTATTAAAATTCCTCCCCCTCTCCCCTTCCCCACCCTCTCCCCCTCACTTCCTCCCCTTTCAGACGGCCTGGTCATATTTCTGTTCCAGGGGCGGTGGGCGGGGGGGTGCCACCCAGTGAGGAAGGACGGGGTGTGTAGGAATCTGTTTTACGTCCCACGTGGAAAAAAAAAAAGCTTCCAATTCAGGGTTCTGGTTCTGGAGAAAGGCTGCACACACACACACACACACATGAAGAGAGACGTGAGACTTTAAGAAATTCAACTTGGCCACATGGCATGGGCCAGGCGGCCGTCCGACTCTCATGAGAGCATTGAACCCGCTGCTCTGGCCCATCTCTATAACATTTTAAAAACATGTTAAGCGACAGCCAACACCGGTTTTTGGCTCGGTGGATAGAGCGTCGGCCTGCGGACCGGAGGGTCCCGGGTTCGATTCCCGGCCAAGGGCATGGACCTTGGTGGCTGAGGGCACATCCCCTGTGGGGGGCGTGCAGGAGGCAGCTGATGGATGTTTCTTTCTCATCGATGTTTCTAGCTCTCTCTCCCTCTCCCTTCCTCTCTGTAAAAAACAAACAAACAAACAATAAAATATATTTTAAAAAAAACACATTTTAAGATACATTTTATACATTAAAAGGAACAAAATAATAATAATAATATGGAATCTCCTTTATTATGTCACAAAATCGCAGGCAAGATGCACAGAAATGTACAGGCCGCCCTTAAGTAGGAAAGAACAGACATTGACATGAGACAAGGATGGAGGCGGCTTCAGCTAACTGTCTCCATTCAAGGGTGAGTGGTTAGAGCAGTGGAGGTGGTGGGCCAGCCTCTCTCTCTCTCTCTCTCTCTCTCTCTCTCTCTCTCTCTCTCTCTCTCTCTCTCTCTCTCTCTCTCTCTCTTTAAAAATACATTTTATTGATTTTTTACAGAGAGGAAGGGAGAGAGATGACAGCTTAGAAACGTCGATGAGAGAGAAACATCGACCAGCTGCCTCCTGCACGCCCCCCACCGGGGATGTGCCCGCGCACAAGGTCCATGCCCCTCACCGGAATCGAACCCGGGACCTTTCAGTCCGCAGGCCGACGCTCTATCCACTGAGCCACACCGCTTTCGGCTTTTTTTGAATATATTTTATTGATTTTTTTTTTTTGATTTTTTTTTACAGAGAGGAAGGGAGAGGGATAGAAACTCGGAAACATCGATCAGCCGCCTCTTGCACACACACACCCCCCCCTCCCCTCCCCACTTGGGATTGTGCCCACACCCAGAGTCCATGCCCTTGACCAGAATCGAACCCGGGCCCCTTGAGTCCGGTTTCGGCAGGAAATTTATTCTTAAGACCTCCAGTGGGGGTGGGGGAGAGAGGGAGGAAGGAAGAGGAGAGAGACCTAAGACAGGACCCTACAGAATAAACCCAAAGACTGTCAGAAAAAAAAGAAAAATACCCAGAAACACATTCTCTCTCCCCTGGAAATGTACACCCACAAAAAATAGCACACCCTGTATTTCCATGACTGTTTTTGCTGCGTTGTTTTGTTGTTGTGTTTTGTTTTTGTTTTTTTTAAATCTAGAAAATGTACATTTGGATAATAAAAATGATCTTTTCAGAATCACCAGGCAATGATGACATATATATCAATACTTTGTTTTCTTTTTTTTTAATTAATTTCTTTATTGATGAAGTTATCCCATAGTTGTTTTCAAACCCCCCACCCCCATTCCAATCCCCCACCCCAGCTTCCCACGCAAACCCCCACCCCCTGGTGTCCGCGGCCACTGGTTAGGCACCTATGTGTGCACACAAGTTCTTTGGTTGATCTCTCCTATTTATGGATGGATGGGTGGATGGATGGGTGGATGGATGGATGGAGGATGGATGGATGGATGGGTGGATGGATGGATGGATGGATGAGTGGATGGATGGATGGATGGATGGATGGGTGGATAGATGGGTGGATAGATGGATGGATGGGTGGGTGGGTGGGTGGGTGGATGGATGGATGGATGTGGATGGATGGTGGATGGATGGAGAGAAGGATGAATGGATGGCGGATGGATGGGTGGATGGG